TCCGCCATCAGGTGTGGTGCCCTTCCATGGCATTTGCATGTTTGGTAGTTAATGATATTGGAAGTTCCAGAAAGATATGGTTTTCATTTGTTGCTTTACCTTACAGCGGCTCCATTCTGTTACTTATATGACTCTTCCATTAATTTGTACTTCACATTTCGCGCTTTCTATATACGCTACTGCCATCGATTGACCACAATAAATACACATCCGCAGGTGGTTTGGGCTTATCGTGGAGTATGGGTTGATATTCCGAGCCATTCACATAAAACGCTTTCTTTGCAGGGCATTGTCAGCTTATGTCTGCTTTTTGAGAAGCTTTTGCAAACGCATGAACCGCAGCTATGGTCGCACTTACGTGAACTGCAAATACAACCGTAAGTATATTTTAGAAATCTCATTATTTTATGCTTGATTCTTTATCTCATTTGATAGATTTGTATAGGGTAAATCATTGCTGAATTCTGAAAAGTTATATTCATAATTTTTCACTAAGCAATTACAAACATAGTGCTTATCATAACTATACGACACCCACATGTTGATAAGTTTTGATAAAAACAATTGGCTAAAGTCAACAGTATTTTGTAGCTACTTAAAACTTACAACTTAGAATTCAATGGCCTAAAACACTGGTAACCTAAAAATTTTCTAAAATAAATAGTCAAAATTTGTCAATATGTGGGTGTCATGTAATTATGATAAAAACTATACATATATCGAGATCGAAGCAATTTTTTCTATTCTTCGTGTGGTTGATGGGTTTTTTTAATTTCGGAATGAGGTTCATGGTTTGGCCCTTATCAAACTATTTGCCAAGGCCTTTGAATGTTTCAGCAACGATTTAAACACCTGAGCTTAAATTACATCGGTTCACGACACTATGGGACAGGAAGAGATCAAAGCTGTCCAAAATTCAAAATCGTATCGGATTGGCTTTAAACTTATCACTTATGGAGTCTGAAAATTTTCAAAAACTATTAAATCGCAACAGAGATCACCACGCAACGAACTTTTAGACCTTAGCTTTAAAAATTTATATAATTATTTTTGTTAAAAAGCATACTGAGAAACCACATATGATTTTGCGCCAAATAAGGGTTTGATTACTTTGAACAGATTTATTTTCATAGTTAATAAAATCCGAAAATAAAGATCTTAAATTATATGTTCCGCCTAATGAGATTTAAAAAAATTTCTACACAACACCATCCTGTGATCGGTCGAACAAATTTTCCACAAGCTACAGAGTGGCGTTATTTGAAATTTTATTATTGGGCTGAACGGTTTCTTGATGATAATTTCTAGACAATACCACTCTGTCAATAAAACAAACTTATGTTTAAGTATGTATGATTAAAAAATGCTATAAATAAAATAAAATAAATAGCCTAAACCCGCGGCTTCAACCGCTCGAACCGCCGAAATTCTAGTGATTCATAATATAATACGTAGATAATTTGAAACATGATGCAAAGACTGTAAGATATGAGTTTTATTTCAAAGTACTTCAATCTCACATTTTTAGTGTACATTGTATTTCTTCAGAAAGTTGGAATGTTACTACAGTTAAGGGATTAAATTTGGAAATTTTTTTGTTATGAGTATTTATATTAGTAAGGTACTCATTAAAAATTTTAACAAATTGTAGCATACATAGGGTTCCTGTGTTATAGCTGATTTTAAATTTCTCGGATGTGGGAGGTAGTGCATATGAGTCCGTTCAAAACCAATTTAGAACCAGTAAAAGTCAAATGCCGCTGTAAACTAAAATATATAGTTACGATCACTGAAATAGTAGTGCGCACTTGCGAGATGCATTATGCCCTTGATGTCGCATACTACGCGATATTGGAATCGAGTTTTTTTTTTTTTTTAATTATCATCTCTAGTGTATGATTTAACGCTATGCAAATTTCAAAGCGTTCAACAGCTACGGTTTCATTTTTTTTTAGAAGTAGCCCCTGTTGTGAACGGCATTTAAGGCGAGCAGTGAAATAGTAGCGCATAACAAATAAAGTCGCAAAATTTAACTTCAAATGCAAATATTTTAGTTTTTGGAATAAAAAGTAAGTTCAATGACTTGGTTTTTATATATATTTAGCCGGAATAGACATAACGCATTTTTGTAATTTTTAGTGGTACGAAGTCTGCACCGAGGTCACGAAAAACGTGAAATTATTAAAACCCTTATTAAAAATGGGGAAAACATATAAAGAAGTGGAAAAACTCGGTGGATGTTCACAGCCTCCATGATTCGAAATACGTTAACGTATCAAAATAAACCTGAAAACGGGGTGGTAAGCAGGAATTATCAACGACTATCATACGGCAATTATCAAATATTCGAAGACTCGTCCCACAATGTCAGCTTTAGAAATTTTGGATAACCTAAAGTTACCATGTAGTGTTCATACAGTAAAGAGACAGCTCCAAGAACACAAACTTTGGGCTAGAAGTCCACGTAAAGTATCGCTTTTGAAAAGAAATTCATGTTATGCTTCCATTCGCTAAAGAGGAAATGCCACTCAAATGGGTACTAGAGCAGGATAACGGCTCGAAACATACAAGTAAGCTGGAAAAATTGTGGTCTCGAGACAACGGAATTGAAGTCATAGAGTGGCCAGCTCAATTTCCTGACCTCAATCCTATAGAAAACATTTATACCAACCTTAAATAAGCCGTATGGGATCTAAAACCAAAAAATAACCACGAACTATGGGCCGCGCATGGCAGTCAATACCTCAGGAAAGATGTGAACGCCGTTCATGCTACCAAATACTAAGTAATTGTGCTAAATTTTAGTATTAATATTAACAATTTAATACAAATTTAAGACTTTTTGTTATGTACTACTATTTTTCTGCTTGCAGTAATTTCTATGAAAACACATCTTACGTGAATTAATTTTTGAAGTGAAACTTCTTTAGCGGCGGTTGCTTGGTTGGGAGTAAATTGGCAAATTTAGCGGAAATTGCACACGGAAATGGTGCAACGGAAATGATGCAACGGAAATGGTTGGGCCTGAAACAAGTACTTCTTATGTGTATGCACCGGAAATGATGCCACGGCAATGATGCAACGGAAATGGTGCAACGGAAATGGTTGGGGCTGAAACAAGTGCTTCTTGTGTATATGCATATGGCATTAATTTAACAAAAATTTGCTAATAAAAGGTTAAAGAATAACACTTAGAAAAAGACCAATACAAGAATGAAAGTAAATGTGAGTACGTACATAGGTAAAGAAAAGGATAAAGGCAAAGGTAAAAATAAAAACTAAAACAAAGATGCGTAAAGATATAGGCAAAAATGAAGACCAAGGTAAATTTAAACACTTTACTTATATATATAAGGGCAAAGGTGAAGGGGAATATGTAGATGAAAAAATGATAAACATAAATGTAGGATACCGAGTGGGTTTTCTGCTATAACTTTACTTTTA